TATGGGGGTAGTAAATATACACCCCCTGTATATACTGTGTGTATAATGTATGGGGGAAATATACACCCCCTGTATATACTGTGTATATATAATGTATGGGGTAAATATACACCCCCTGTATATACTGTGTATATAATGTATGGGGTAAATATACACCCTCTGTATATACTGTGTATATAATGTATGGGGTAAATATACACCCTCTGTATATACTGTGTATATAATGTATGGGGGTAAATATACACCCCCTGTATATACTGTGTATATAATGTATGGGGGTAAATATACACCCCCTGTATATACTGTGTATATAATGTATGGGGTAAGTATACACCCCCTGTATATACTGTGTATATACTGTATGGGGTAAATATACACCCCCTGTATATACTGTGTATATAATGTATGGGGGTAAATATACACCCCCTGTATATACTGCGTATATAATGTATGGGGGTAAATATACACCCCCTGTATATACTGCGTATATAATGTATGGAGTAAATATACACCCCCTGTATATACCGTGTATATAATGTATGGGGGGTGAATATACACCCCCTGTATATACCGTGTATATAATGTATGGGGTAAATATACACCCCCTGTATATACCGTGTATATAATGTATGGGGTAAATATACACCCCTGTATATACCGTGTATATAATGTATGGAGGTAAATATACACCCCTGTATATACCGTGTATATAATGTATGGGGGTAAATATACACCTACAGTACTGCATATAATTGCATAAGTAATATACACCTGCATATACTGTGCATAATGTATGGGGTAAATATACAGCCCCTGCATATACTGTGCATATAATGCATGGGGTAAATATACACCCCCTGTATATACTGTGTATATAATGTATGTGGGTAAATATACACCCCCTGTATATACTGTGTATATAATGTATGGGGTAAATATACACCCCCTGTATATACTGTGCATATAATGTATGGGGTAAATATACACCCCCTGTATATACAGTGTATATAATGTATGGGGTAAATATACACCCCCTGTATATACTGTGCATATAATGCATGGGGTAAATATACATCCCCTGTATATACTGTGTATATAATGCATGGGGTAAATATACACCCCCTGTATATACTGTGTATATAATGCATGGGTTAAATATACACCCCCTGTATATACTGTGTATATAATGTATGGGGGTAAATATACACCCCCTGTATATACTGTGTATATAATGTATGGGGGTAAATATACACCCCCTGTATATACTGTGTATATAATGTGTGCGGGTAAATATACACCCCCTGTATATACTGTGTGTATATAATGAATGGGGTAAATATACACTCCCTGTATATAATGTATGGGGTAAATATACACCCCCTGTATATACTGTGTATATAATGTATGGGGTAAATATACACCCCCTGTACATACCGTGTATATAATGTATGGGGTAAATATACACCCCCTGTATATACTGTGTATATAATGTATGGGGTAGTGGATACACTGCTGGGAGACACAGGGAGGAGCTGGCAGTCAGGTGACTATTGTTATATGATGAGCTTCCTATACACTTACACAAAGGAAATGTTCAAATATAATGTTCTATGTATCTAATGTGAGATCAATGGGAACTGCCTGTAATGTATGGGGTAAATATATATATAATGTATGGGGTAAATATACACCCCCTGTATATACTGTGTATATAATGTATGGGGTAAATATACACCCCCTGTATATACTGTGTATATAATGTATGGGGGGGTAAATATACACCCCCCTGTATATACTGTGTATATAATGTATGGGGGTAAATATACACCCCCTGTATATACTGTGTATATAATGTATGGGGCTAAATATACACCCCCTGTATATACTGTGTATAGAATGTATGGGGCAAATATACACCCCCTGTATATACTGTGTATAGAATGTATGGGGCAAATATACACCCCCTGTATATACTGTGTATAGAATGTATGGGGCAAATATACACCCCCTGTATATACTGTGTATATAATGTATGGGGTAAATATACACCCCCTGTATATACTGTGTATATAATGTATGGGGTAAATATACACCCCCTGTATATACTGTGTATATAATGTATGGGGTAAATATACACCCCCTGTATATACTGCGTATATAATGTATGGGGTAAATATACACCCCCTGTATATACTGTGTATATAATGTATGGGGGGTAAATATACACCCCCTGTATGTACTGTGTATATAATGTATGGGGTAAATATACACCCCCTGTATATACTGTGTATATAATGTATGGGGTAGTGGATACAGTGCTGGGAAACACAGGGAGAAGCTGCCAGTCAGGTGACTATTGTTATATGATGAGCTTCCTATACAGTTACACAAAGGAAATGTTCAAATATAATGTTCTATGTATCTAATGTGAGATCAATGGGAACTACCTGTAATGTATGTGGGAAATATATATATAATGTATGGGGTAAATATACACCCCCTGTATATACTGTGTATATAATGTATGGGGTAAATATACACCCCCTGTATATACTGTGTATATAATGTATGGGGTAAATATACACCCCCTGTATATACTGTGTATGTAATGTATGGGGTAAATATACACCCCCTGTATATGCTGTGTATGTAATGTATGGGGTAAATATACACCCCCTGTATATACTGTGTATGTAATGTATGGGGTAAATATACACCCCCTGTATATACTGTGTATATAATGTATGGGGTAAATATACACCCCCTGTATATACTGTGTCTATAATGTATGGGGTAAATATACACCCCCTGTATATACTGTGTCTATAATGTATGGGGTAAATATACACCCCCTGTATATACTGTGTATTTAATGTATGGAGTAAATATACACCCCCTGTATATACTGTGTATATAATGTATGGAGTAAATATACACCCCCTGTATATACTGTGTATATAATGTATGGGGTAAATATACACCCCCTGTATATACTGTGTCTATAATGTATGGGGTAAATATACACCCCCTGTATATACTGTGTATATAATGTATGGGGGTAAATATACACCCCCTGTATATACTTTGTATATAATGTATGGGGTAAATCTACAGCCCTGTGGTATATACTGTGTATATAATGTATGGGGGGATAAATATTCAGCTAACTGAAAGGGAGTGAGCACACTTATTCCAGAGGGTATGGTCTACACCCCTTAGTCAAGCCAAAATAGTTATTCTATTAGCAAGTTACAAGTTGGTACTGTACTCAAACAGCAGTTCATTTACTTTTCCCCAATGTTAGTAACAATTACTGGCGATGTGGCTCAGCATGGAGTCATTTAGAGCATGTTTAGCTGTTTTAACTGAAGATACAAAAGTTTTAGAAACAGGTACTGGACAACATAAAGTAAATACTATCAATTACATTCTCAGTTCCCGCAAATCCTATTGGGCTACCTAATGCCTTCCATGATACTGCTAGATAAAAGCTATTATGGTTCCTCTTAAATGAAGCCAATGAACTAATATCTAGACTGATGAACTGCACTGGAGGGGTGGGTGGCTGTGGTCGTGGGAACCCTGGATAGATCATTGGTCACCTAATCGTAATAACACATCATAGGTCCTCGTGGCCATTTCGATCTGCTACACCCACACTGAGACAACCATATTCTGACAGCACCCAACATACCACCGCTCAAACAAGACACTTGTGCCCTATCTACAGTGCTACTGACGGTCTCATCCTAGGCCTTATATTATGCAACGTTCTTTCAGATGCACCTTCTAGGAAATTACTTAACCAACACGACTGGTACCTAATGTTATCTTACTCTTTCGTTTTCCATCATGTTATTGCTTTGAAGCATTCCTACCATACATAGAAACATAGAATGTGACGGCAGATAAGAACCATTCGGCCAATCTAGTCTGCCCAATTTTCTAAATACTTCCATTAGTCCCTAGTCTTATCTTATGGTTAGGATAGCCTTATGTCTATCCCACGCATGCTTAAACTCGTTTACTGTGTTAACCTCTACCACTTCAGCTGGAAGGCTATTCCATGCATCCACTACCCTCTCAGTAAAGTAATACTTCCTGATATTATTTTTAAACCTTTGTCCCTCTAATTTAAGACTATTTCCTCTTGTTGTGGTAGTTTTTCTTCTTTTAAATATAGTCTCCTCCTTTACTGTGTTGATTCCCTTTTATGTATTTAAATGTTTCTATCATATCCCCCCTGTCTCGTCTTTCCTCCAAACGGTATGTACAAATACCGTTTGATTTTGTGAAATACTGTGTAACATCTACAATAACTGCATACTACTATTATTGGAGAGAAAAACAAGGACCAAGAGAGGTGAGAACGGACAACAGCTGAATTAGCCTGCCCTTCGGTGGGTCCCCGCTCAGATCTCAAGCTGGTTTTACCTCATCTTGTGCCATTACAGAGCGAACCTATCTGAAGCATATCAGATTGGTCCCATCCGTACGGGCAACCCAACCTACTTGTCCGGTACATTAAATATATCCTACCATTACTTCATGTCATCTTATCCCACTCCCTGTAGAATGTAAGATCGCTGGAGCAGGGCCCTCAACACCCTCTCTTCCTGTGCGTCCAATTCACTTTGTTATAAAATCTTGTTTGTTAATCCACCCATTATACAGGGCTGTTGAATATGCTGGCACTTCATAAATAATAAATTATAATGTATTTAAAATGTATAGGAGGTAAATATACAGCCCCAGGTATATGCCGTGTATATAATGGGTTTATTGTATCCATTGAAATACACTATGAATCTGTAATTACAGAATATTCTAATTCCTGTTCTCAGGCTGCCTGATCGGCTTAATGATGACAAACACAAACAGGAATCAGATGACCGAGAGGATCCTGGATCTGACCCTGGAGGTCAACTACCTGCTGACTGGAGAGGTGAGGGATTCTGGGAATGTCACAGCAACTACACACTTTTATCCTGTGCTTTAACATGGATATTCTGAGACTTATTATGGACACATTTGTGCAGTAGATATTGGGTAAATAAGATTGTGGGTCATTAGCGGTGCTGGATTGCAATACTGAGATTTGTGGAATTTTTTTTCTGTTGGTGTTAAAGTTTGGTCATGGTATAAATGTGGGGATTGGGATGATTATAAGACATGATTATAAACAGGTAGCCCTAGCATAGCATTTCTCAGCCCTGTGCACTATACAGGACTTTATGATGGAGAAGGCCGGCATCGCACACACAGACAGGGGTAGCAGTGACAGAGGTGGGTGGTAGAAGCACATACTAGCAGGATTAAGGTGATTCCTTTATCATGAATAAGATAATGAAACCGCTTTATAAATAACTCCAAGGTAACAAAGTGATGTTCTGTGTAACGTATAGACTTAGTTGGAGAGATCCTTTAATACAGTGGTCTTCAACAGCTGGTTCACAAAAGCTTTCACTCAACTATACCGTTGGGTGGAACTTTTCGCGGATCGGAAATAAATTGCCACAAGATTTTTCACTGGTGCTATGATCATAGCACCCTGCAGGATCGGAGGGAAGATCAGAGTCCTCCCTCTCCGGCCGCCAGCAGTATAATGCTGGCGGGGGAGGGAGGGAGGGAAAGAGGACCCGGGGGAGCTCTACTCTGCAGCTCTGCCGGATTCTGCTCTTGCGAGCCCGGACCGTTGCCACGTACTTTAAAATGTACTTTCGTTTTAACGCTGAGAGTAACCCCTTACATTATACCTTATGTGGCAAACCTAGCCACTTCAGACTATTGTTTCACTTTAAGGGTTGCACTAGAAAGACTGGTTTATATATGCAGTTTGATGTATCTGTTTAAAATGTGAAAGAGGGAATTCGTATGCTGGTAGCATGAAAGCCGCTAGCATTCAATGGTAGTTTCACGAACAGTGATTTTCAACACTGTTCGTGAAACGAACAAAGTACAGAATGGGAGCCCACACACAGGGGGTCGTGTGGCTCCCATTAACCGATCGCAACAATGTATCTATCGGATGTTAATTGATTCCCGGGTGACCGTCGTTCGACTACCGACCACGAGGCGGCGGCCATCTTGGATGTCCTTTTTGCCCAGCGGTGTTTGGTCGTCGAGTGCCTGGAACTGAAATCGGCTACTCGACTGCACGAACACCGCTGGACTTCCAGGCCGTTCAGGAGCGCCGGTCTTAAGGTATTTTTTCCCCACTTATGTATTCATGTCTTTTATGATGAAGGTATGTTAAAGTATATTTTGTGCGGCGTTCGGCTGATTGTGTGGGGGAATCTGAGCGGTACTTTCACTAAGTATGCGTTCAAACCCCAGCTATCTGCCGAACGGTCATTCGGTACAGTGACATGAATAAAATAGTTATGGATTTTTTATGTAAAAATCCAGTTCTGCTGTACGGAGGGATAATCCACTTAACAGGATATTCTAGTGGGAGTATCCCTCTTGTACAGCAGTGCATGGTGGGAGAAATGTTCTATATGTTAAGTTCCCCATGTAGTCCCCTACTGTACAACCCCTGTAAAGTCAGTAAGGAAACCCCTTGCATGGGGAACCACATAAATACTGGATCTGTAAATAAAATCGTCAGTTGACTCCCAGAACTGTGTTTCGTCCGGTTACTGGTAGATTTGGAATATTGCCTTCATTTTCAGCGCTTTCCTTGGATTACCTTCTTTTACCAGCGGAGATATTTGGATTTAATATTGCAGCTCCGCTACACCTTACTTACAAAGATTTGATAGAAATGAATGTAGCTGATATAAGTAAACCTAAGCATAGAAAAATAAGTAAGGGAATCTCTGACATACTGGCCTTAATACAGTACTGCGGTAAATAGCGTAATATAAACTGACCAGAATAATAAGTAAGGTAATCTCTGACATACTGGCCTTAATACAGTACTGCGATAAATAGCCTAATATAAACTGACCAGAATAATAAGTAAGGGAATCTCTGACATACTGGCCTTAATACAGTACTGCGATAAATAGCCTAATATAAACTGACCAGAATAATAAGTAAGGGAATCTCTGACTTACTGGCCTTAATACAGTACTGCGGTAAATAGCGTAATATAAACTGACCAGAATAATAAGTAAGGGAATCTCTGACATACTGTCCTTAATACAGTACTGCGGTAAATAGCGTAATATAAACTGACCAGAATAATAAGTAAGGTAATCTCTGACTTACTAGCCTTAATACAGTACTGCGATAAATAGCGTAATATAAACTGACCAGAATAATAAGTAAGGGAATCTCTGACATACTGGCTATAATACAGTACTGCGGTAAATAGCGCCATATAAACTGACCTGAATAATAAGTAAGGGAATCTCTGACATACTTGCCTTAATACAGTACTGCGGTAAATAGCGTAATATAAACTGACCAGAATAATAAGTAAGGGAATCTCTGACATACTAGCCTTAATACAGTACTGCAGTAAATAGCGTAATATAAACTGACCAGAATAATAAGTAAGGGAATCTCTGACATACTAGCCTTAATACAGTACTGCAGTAAATAGCGTCATATAAACTGACCAGAATAATAAGTAAGGGAATCTCTGACTTACTGGCCTTAATACAGTACTGCGATAAATAGCGTCATATAAACTGACCAGAATAATAAGTAAGGGAATCTCTGACATACTGGCTATAATACAGTACTGCGGTAAATAGCGCCATATAAACTGACCAGAATAATAAGTAAGGGAATCTCTGACATACTGGCCTTAATACAGTACTGCGGTAAATAGCGTAATATAAACTGACCAGAATAATAAGTAAGGGAATCTCTGACATACTGGCCTTAATACAGTACTGCGGTAAATAGCGTAATATAAACTGACCAGAATAATAAGTAAGGGAATCTCTGACATACTGGCCTTAATACAGTACTGAGGCGAATAGCGCCATATGAAAACTGACCAGAATAATAAGTAAGGGAATCTCTGACATACTGGCCTTAATACAGTACTGCGGTAAATAGCGTAATATAAACTGACCAGAATAATAAGTAAGGGAATCTCTGACATACTGGCCTTAATACAGTACTGGCGAATAGCGTAATATAAACTGACCAGAATAATAAGTAAGGGAATCTCTGACTGGTACTGAAATAGCGTAATATAAACTGACCAGAATAATAAGTAAGGGAATCTCTGACATACTGGCCTTAATACAGTACTGCGGTAAATAGCGTAATATGAAAACTGACCAGAATAATAAGTAAGGGAATCTCTGACATACTGGCCTTAATAGCAGCGTAATATAAACCGGACCAGAATAATAAGTAAGGGAATCTCTTGACTTACTGATATACGCTGCATCATGCAAATAGCGAATATAAACTGACCAGAATAATAAGTAAGGACCCTGACATACTGGCTATAATACAGTACTCATGCAAATAGCTGCACATAAACCGTGGACCAGAATAATAAGTATGGAACCCTGACATACTGGCTATAATACAAAGTACTGCGTAAATAGCGCAATATAAACTGACCAGAATAATAAGTAAGGGAATCTCTGACTTACTGGCCTTAATACAGTACTGCGGTAAATAGCGTAATATAAACTGACCAGAATAATAAGTAAGGGAATCTCTGACTTACTGGCTATAATACAGTACTGCGGTAAATAGCGTAATATAAACTGACCAGAATAATAAGTAAGGTAATCTCTGACATACTGGCTATAATACAGTACTGCGGTAAATAGCGTAATATAAACAGACCAGAATAATAAGTAAGGGAATGTGGCAAACCTAGCCACTTGGGACTGCCTAAGATAGAATGGTTGTGCCTATTTTCTGTTGTGTACTGCGCGCCGGTATAGTGTTGCGTCTCCGGCTATGTTTAATTTATGCTGTACTGTGTATGTCTGTTCGAATCCTCCCCATTCGTTAGCATTGCTATTAAAACTGACTAAGTTGTATATTTTGAAGTAGAAAGGTAATGGTTTATGTCCTCGTAGTTTTCATTACTGTATGTTACAGCAGGGGCTGTTGGGAGGAGGACCTGGAAACGGTAGTCTCCCTCCAGTCCCCTCAACCAAAACCCCTGCTGCCCATCTTTGGAAACCCCTGTTGAGTGACCTGCTTTAAATATCAGTTATTTTTAATAAAGTGACAG